GATCGACACCACTTTTTACCTAAAACCTTAAGGCAATGGGTTAATGGGTCTTTCATATTTATATACTGCTCTACTTTCTCAATTCTATCCAATGTGGGTTGGACTCACACTTGGATACCCAACATGCTTGGCCTTCAGGGCATGTCTGTTTTCACCCTCGTATGCTTCTCACTTAAGCATTACCATGACAACATTTCGTTCCTTTTCTAGGGCTTCTTTGGTTTTACTACTTTTTCTTGATTCGTGGTGGCACGTCAAGTGCGTCTTTTATGTTTTACTTGTGGTGGTTGAGTTGCATGAAATAGTAATGGTCACGGTGTTCTTGCATGAGAAAAATTGTTTGAAGAAATTAACGTTGTTATGGAGACCAAAGATCACGAAACACGAACTCTCTACAACAACAGGGTTTGCAACTTACATGGATTTGGTGTAATTGTGGACATGGAAGAATAAATGTGTTTGTTCGTATAAATATTATTGGGTAAAATGTGTTTCTTTACTTAAATTATTTTCTAAAATTGTATTTAGTTGTTGCTTTAAAGAATGTACTATTTTGTCTCTACAATTTAAAGAATGTACAATGTCTGTGATATTTTTCTCTCTTTTCACTTCAAGTCTCTTTCCTCACTATAACCTCGACATGAACTCCACCTTCCCTGGGCACCAAAATCTCATTATGATTATGTGTAGCTCTCCGGAATACCCTCCTTTTCCCCTTAGGAATCGTTGTGACACGACGAAGTTCTCATTGCTTTCAACAAAACTCTAGTTGCACACATTTTCCTAACTGTAAAATCCTTCCACGACATTTTCTCCCTCCCATTCACACTGCCTCACGGGATCCCTCGTCCTAGCCCCCACCCTTTTTGTCCACGAGCATGCGGTTAACTAACCTTTGTTGTGAAAAAACTTGATCACCATTGTTTTATTCATGTAATCAAGCATATAATTTATAGACCCACATTTTTCTAACGATTGTACTCAAAATAAAAAAGAAGAAGCTATAAACGACTAACAAATTTATTACCAAACTTCATTGGTAATACATTAACTACCCATAACATAACAGTTATAAAGGTCGATCGGTCATATGTCAAGTTAATTAATCAATGTTAAACCTATATGCCAAGTTAATTAACCAATGTTAAACCTACTTAAAAGTAAAGTGTGATTACTCACAATTGAATCGTAATTAGGCTATTACTAATAAAAAAGTTCATTCCATAATCTATAAATATAGGTTTGAGATAAGAAGATAGATGATTTTGCATTTACTGCGTCATTAATACATGAGCTGTCAAATATTTACTGACTTTGGTATCAAGGCATCTATTGTAGGTAACTTCCAAGTGGCATAGACAAACGATTGTGTGAAAATTTAAACTGAAAGATAACATTCAAACCTTTCCTTGACATATCAAACACTAGTCCATTGAACTTGAACCCACAATTGAAACACTTCTTTTATTCTTCATCGCGATTCTTTTATTCTTCACCTTGGCTTCTTATATACAGGAGTTCCTCTCACACCATGCTTGCTCGTTTCATGATTGACCGAGTTCTTCACCATCTCGGTGACCAACTTGTTCTTTGCTTTGACTGACTTCTTCTCAACCTTGGCCGACTTGTCCCTGATCGAGTTCTTTTTTTGTCTTTGTGGCCAACTTGTTGTTAATTGAGTACATGTTAATAGGTCGAGCCCTTTTTGAGGGATTGGACGATTCTCACACCTACTTCACACCAAACTCATCATCCATTCCAAGTTGCCACTTCTCATCTTATAATTCGAGTGTATCTCTAAGATCCTTCTCGACATGCAATTGTTCTTGCAATCTTGAAACATCTTATTCCAGTTCAAAGTGTCATTTATGCAAAGTCTGCTTTCTTCTATCTAAGCTTGCCTATAAAATTACATTGTCTCTCACCTCTTTTTCAATTCTCTCTTGTAAATCACCTTTTGCAAGCTTTAACCTTTGAATAACAAGTTTGTCTCCACACATGTCCTAGTTATCCAAGTTGTATAAATGAACCACTGAGCTTTCTAGATGTCTCACTAAGATATCTGAGCTCTCCGCTTGCTCTACCAACTTATTCGAGCTATCTAAATGCTCAATTGAGCTACTTAGGCTCTCCACCGAGCTTTTGTTCACTTGCTCAATCGAACGACTTGAGCTTTTCATATGCTTCACCACATTGTCTGGGCTATATCTACATATCTTACGACCTCCCTAACCTACTCGATTGTCTTGCCGAATTCTCCATGCTACTTCGCCTTCTTGCCGAGTTCTTCACTTGCTTGTGCATGACTCCCAAGCTTTTTCCTATCATAATAACATTATTTCCTTTTCAGAATCTTCTGTGACAAGTTTGGTCGTTTCTTCCTTTTTGTCCTCAAATCCACAATATTTAGCAAAGTGTTTGATCTTACCACAACTAAAGCATATGTCCTAATAACACTCCTTTGCATAACGATCATACTTGCCACACTTATAACACTTAACATTTAAGTTGCTCTACTAACCTTATCTACATGGAGCTTGTCCTCTTTCGTGTAAATTTTGTTGGTTGGATTGTTCTTTGTCTTTTTTCTATTCACAACATTTACCACCACCACCACCATTTCTTTTACCTTTATGGTATAATCCTTTGGCATAAGTGTTTTGATTCTCTCCCTTCATTTGGAGCAGTTGATCAAGTGACTCCTACTTCTTTTTTCTTTCGTTGTTCGTGTGCTTAAGAGACTTGACAAACTCTTCAACCGTGAGCGTTGATAGGTCCTTGGAATCCTTAATCACACACACCACATTCTCGAAATTGTTTGTCAACGACCTCAAGATATTCTCCGCAACTCGGTTAGCAGGAAACATCTTTCGGTTTTTGCCAAGTTAGATCATCACAGTTTCAACCTGAGTTATCTACTTGGACACTCCTGTTGTCTCCTTCGTTTTCATGTTTTCCAACTCGCACATGAGTGTTTGAAGTCAGATTTATTTCACTTAGTCATCCACCTTATACGCTTTCTTTAATATATCCCTTGGTTCTTTTTGAAGATTTGACAATTGCAATCTTCTCAAAACTGGACTCAGGACTCATCAACAACTTGATACAATATGTATAGGGTTGTCTTGTCCTTCACGTATGCTAGTTTCAATGCATTCAACTGATCAAATAAACCAATTATTGGTGTTTGCTGCTCTTCGTGACCATTTTCCACCACCTCCCAATTGTCTTGGGAACTAATAAGGGCATTCATTTGGAGACTCCAATCATCATAGTTAATCGCCTTTGTCAACTTGGGTAGGGACACATTATTTGTAAGTCTACTCAAGCTCTCTCTAACTCTATTTTTATTTCCATGTGGACATTTAAACTAACTAGCTAGCTCTGATACCACTTTGTAAACAACAAACCTCTTTTATGAAAAAACCTCTTGTTGTGTTGTGTTATTTATGTATCAACAATACAATTTATAGACCTATATTATTCTGACTGTTGTACTTAAAACAAACCTAATACAACAAATACATTAATTATCTATAACAACTAATATATTAGCTACCCATAACAACTAATACATAAGTTTATTCTAAATCTAACACAACCTATGTAACCATAGTTAAGAGTGTCTCTGTAACTACCATCATTACCACCTTTTCGTCTGCTACTACCAGTGAAAGAAAGTTGCAATGAAGAGAAAAAAACATAGTTATAGTGAGAAGGAAGACAAGTACTCTCAAGAGAAAAAAACTCTGCTTGCTACCTATCGCAAACCTTTTATATTTCTAATAAAGTGTAGGAGCAACTTCTTTATAGCATGATAAAATACAGTTTTTTAGCAGTTTAGAATGAAAAACATAATTAATTCATTATTATTTATACATAGATAAACATGTATCTACCAAAATGTTGAATAAATGTTTATGCATGGTAAAAATTAAGGTGTATATATTCACATAACACAACAAAAACACTATTTGGGTGCTTTTTCTTTTTAAATTACCAAAATGAAAGGAAAAGAATTATAAAAGTCTGTAAGTTATACTAATGTAATATGATTTTAGAAAAATAATTCTTTGACACACCAAAATCTTTTATATTTATTTGATACTATTCTTTCTTACTTTTTACTCTCTTATTTCTTGAAAAAATATAAAAGTTTACACTTTTATAACTATTTTATCCTTATATCTGTGTCAAATGAATGTAAAAGTATGTCTTGATAGTATTACTCTACAACTTTATTGTGAAAAAATGATGTTAAGATAACATAACTTTAATTCAAAAAAAATTTAAAATTGAAGTTGTACTAAATTAGCATTTTAAACTCAAATCATGTCAACTTAATAATTTTTTACAAAAATTAAATTAAAATCATGCTAACTTTAACCCAATTTTATTTTAAAATGCACTAAACTAAAGCATGACTTCAACTTTAAAAATTACATTAAATTAAAATCATATTACTTTTGACACGACTTATTCACTTTTATAATTTTAGTAATTTTAAAAAAAAAATTGAACCATTTTTATATTTTGTCCACATAAAACATTTTGTATCGCAAGCAATATAAACACTTTATGGTTTTTTAAATATTAAAATCAAATTAATAAACAAAAACGAAACAACTACAAAAACTAAAAAAAAAATATATTCTTAATCGAATGAAATCAATTTTAAGATTTTATGTTAAAAATCATTTCAGTTCAAATCGAACCAAACTCTATTTTGTATTTAATAATATTATTCAATAGTATATATTGTAAAGCCACGAATTCACTAACTTTTAATTAAAAAATTCTGATAACACATAAAAAAAAAAAGAAACTTAGAAAAAAAATTTGTAAAATGATAACAGTTAGTTAAATGGTAAAATATATATTAAAAGAGTTTAAAATATTTTTAATAAAAAATTAAAAGGGGTTAAAATACTTTTAATCGAAAACTAATTTTACCTACAGAACGTAAAACAGAGAGGCAGATAAAGAAAAAAGTTACAAAGCTTTCAAGGGAAGCTTGTTGTCTGTTTCAAAAGGAAACCCTCACCAATCGCTTCGCTGCACTTCACACTCTTTATACTTTTCAGTGCTGAAGAGGACAAAGAAATTCAATTCTGGAAGTTCCAGTGAACTAGGGTTTCGACGCGGCCATGGAAGAGGAGAAGGTGGGAACCCCGTCGTCAGCGTCGAGAGGTAACAATGGCAGTGATCAATGTCCGGCGAGTGTAAGCCCTAGAGCGCGCATTGTTTCCGTTGCCTCCAACATTGCCTCGCAGCCTCTTCACAACTCTGATCCTCGCGTTTGGGGCGTTCTCACTGCCATTTCCAATAATGCCCGCAAAAGGCACCAGGTTTCCCCATTTTTTCCTCTTTTACTCTTTCTTTCTTCTTCCAAAAGTTTATTATGTACAAGCTTCCAGTGTTGTGTTGTTTTGGCTCTATTTAACTCAAGTTTCTTGAGTTCAAGGATAATTGAATATGAATGCTTAGTTTTTTCGTGATTATATGTTGTTAGTTTAAATTATTTACTTATTTTTCTGATAACTAATGTTTCGGGGGAAAGTGATTGGTCAGCTTCTTCTATCCCAATCATGGTTTTTTCTTCCCATATACAAACACAACGTCTTGTTGAAGAGATTGAAACCCAGTAAACGAGAGTTTTTGTACTTGTGCGAATTAGCAACTGATATTTTGTCAGTAGTCTTTGTTTTATTAAAACATAATGGATAAATATTTGTTTATATTTGAATTGTGAAGGACGGATGGAATAATTAATATTTGTTGTTGTGTAATACGGAGTGGTAGTTTTGTCGTATTTTAGGAAGACAATGGGAAGTAGTTTTAAAGGTTTCTTGAGGTTTTTATATTGTTATTGCTTTGGAATGCCATTACCTTTGCTAGAAAGAAAGGGAATGGGAAAACCCTTCTTAAATGAAAAATAATGAATTGTAGGCTAACTTTGGGTTATAAAATGTCATTTTACACTTTTTATTTAATGATTTATGATTTTAGAATTTAAAATGGTTGCACTAGTTGAATTTTTGTTATTATACGAAGGTGAGGTTAATATGTATATGTTGTTGACTTGTTTTTTGTATAACAATAGTATTGGGGAATTGACCCTATTGTTCATTATTTTTGGGTAAATGTAGTCTACATTGAGTCCTTTAAGATGTTGGTTGTGTCGACTGCAAACAAAAACCATACGAAGGGACGTGGTTAAAAACATGAAACAAAGATTATCTTAAAGAATTTTTTGTACTTTGTTTAGACTGTGAGCTGTTTGTTGATGTCCTTTATATTGTCAATTTAGTGGAAATTCTGTTGCTCCTGTATGAGTGTGAGCCTTGGCACAATGGTTAGGTTGCTGCCTTCTGACTTAAAAGTCATGCATGGGTGGACAACCCATCAAATAATTTCTCTGCTAGTCTGAGTTAGGCTGTGTATTCCTCCCCAGACGGCCAGACCCCACTAGATGAGGATTGCGTTTGTTGCTCCTTTACAATAGTCAACTAAAAATCTACTACAGATCATCCAAACTACTCGTTAAGGGAAATGTTAGGCAATTAGGTACAATTCAATCAGTGGCATTTCAATTTCAGCACTTGACCCAGACCCACAAACATCCGTGATTTCAAAGTTACAAACATTTTAATCAAATTGTGCATGGTAGTTTATTCCTACTTGTTTTCTCTGAGCCCAATGTTACTGACTGACACTTTCTTTTATTTTCAATTTTTTGGTTTAAGTGTTCATCGCGCTTTTAATTTTTTTTTCATAAACGGCTGCAACAGGGAATTAACATTATATTAAGTGCTGATGAACACTGCCTTGGGCGATTGGTAGAGGATGTGCGTTTCCAGATTGATTCCAATTCTGTTAGCGCAAATCATTGCCGAATATACAGGATGAAGGTTACTAATGAAAATATGGAGAATGCCACATCAATACTCTTGAAAGATACAAGGTATTGATTTGTTTTTGGAACTTGAGGTCTACCCATCATTTAATAGGAATTAAAGAGCTTTTCCCCGTCTTTTCTTCATATTCTCATTTTTGTAAAACTTTCTTCAGCACAAATGGAACTTACCTAAACTGGGAGAAATTGAAAAAGAATGGTGCTGCGGTGAAAGTCTGCCATGGTGATATTATATCATTTGCTGCTCCTCCGCAGCATGGTATTGTAATTTTGAATTCCCTACAATAGCCTAATATTTCATTGTTTTATATCTGTTCCTCCTGTTCTCACTGTAGTTGTAGAAATTGATTTTTGACCGGTTAATGTTGAGGATATGTTCTCTATATTCCATTACCTTTTTTTTTTTCATTTCCTTTAATTGTGAAAAGTATATACAAATTTTACAAAATATTTGAGCAAATGTATGTTTTAGTGCTACTTGGTTGCAAATTGTCATTGGAAAAGGTAATATAATTCTGATTAGTTATCTCCCTTTATGATTTCATTTGTATTTGTGAAAATAAATAAAATAGAACATTGTCCCATATAAAGATTTTTATTTAGTTCACGACAACTTTTGTTATTTCTGCTTTTGCTTATGAACCTTTATTTGAAAGTTGAACAACTACTATAATTATTTGTTATAAATTTGACATATTGCTGCTTTTGAGAGTATATTATTGCCTTCTGTATTTTATTCTATTTCAAATTATCATAATTTGGTCTTATCATGCAGATCTGGCTTTTGCTTTTGTATATCGAGATGTGCTTGTGTCTAGCCCCATGCCAGATAATGCAGTTGTTAAACGAAAAGCAGGTAGTGTAATAATGAGCAGCAGCTCCTATATTTGCCTTTTTTTGTCATTCTTGAATTATGTTCTGATTTTTGTGTAAGTAGAATCAAGCTTGTAAATTTATGTTGATTTGAAGTTTTATGTGCGTGCTGAGATTCATAATTTCCTTTACACATGATTGACTCTTTGCAAATTACCTCATTTTGTGGATGATTAAGGTATATAATATATTGATTTGATATTTAATTTTATTTCACTTTCTAATACATTTTTCTTTTCTTCTGTCTTCAATCATCTTTTGTTTCATGTGTAGAGGATTTTATTTCTGAAAACAAGAGATTGAAAGGTTTAGGCATCGGTGCTCCTGAGGGTCCCATATCTCTAGATGATTTTCGAAGCCTTCAAAGATCAAACACAGTATGTTAATTTAGAAGGATTGCATATTAGTTAGTTTTGTAAACTTTTTTTCTTTCTTTAATCGTACCCAATATCTTCCTGACAGGAATTGAGAAAGCAATTGGAGAATCAAGTGGTTACAATTGATACTTTGCGTAGTGACAACCGAACAGCTGTTGAACGCCATGAGAGTGTATGTAAATCATTGTTGAACTTGCTGGGACAACACCTAGATTAAGCTGAGGTTCCTAAAAATACTTTAAACTTAATACTTAATTTTACAAATGATGTAAAAAGGACAGATTATGTTATATACTTAAGATAATTAGAGCCACTGATAATTAACCTTGTATCTTCCCTTGTGGTAATTTAATTTCTTGTAAAAGAAAGAAACAATATGTGATTGTCGGATTAAGTGCAGAAGTGGAACATTAATTCATATGAGCTTATCTTGCTCAAATAGTTACTCAAAGAACAGTGATTTAGACAGATTGTTCTTAGGACACTTATTTGTGATAACTAGGCAACATCACATATTGCCTAAAACTAGTATTCCAGAAAAGGATCATACATTGAGATTGACTTCCATTTCATTAGAGCCAAGACCTTACTAGGAGAGGAGACATCACCATTTTGTTAATTCCAATTATCAAATTGGCAAATGTTTCCATGAAATCATTGAGAGGTCCCCGTCCCCCAGGGAGTTATATAGGTAGCAAGCTCGATACATGATCTGTATACTCCTTTGTTGAGGGGGAGTGTTAAAAGTAAGGTACTCGTAATAGTAATATAAACAGAACAGATTGCTTGTGACTTAATTAAATGCGTATTTTTGTAACTATCCTTTGTATTTGTGATTTCTCGGAAAGAAAAAATGTGTTCTGTTCATGATTCAAACCCAGAATTCATCACGAGTCCTCATTTTCTCTCCTTCTCACAATTTTATTTTAATTTTTTTAAAGATCCCCCTACCCTCCCCAACTTATATCTATCTATGCCACTGAATTTTTTACTTTGACTTTACCTTGTCTAAAAGAAATTCAGATGTGATTTAAATCAACTATATCTGCATTTTATCGATTCTAAAAGAAATGTTTGATCTATATTTCACCATCATTATTCACATGGTCTATAATTTACAATGTCTTATCTACTTTATGATTCATATTATGTAGGAAATAAAATCAGTCAAAGAATCAGTTGCAAACGGTTACCTTGACCAATTAAAAGAATTACAGCAAACAGTGGATCTCAAACAGAAGGAATTGGGGGATCTCAACAAAGCGTCTGCTGAACAAAGACATGCCCTGGAAGACCTTAATGAAAGGCTCAGTGCTTCTACACAGTCGTGTGCTGAAGCAAATTCAATAATAAGTAGGTATGGATTAGTTAATTCGTCTGCACTTCTGTACCTTATAATATCATTTTGTTTTAATGTTTCTCTTATTATTGCTTTAAGTTGTTCATGTTGATTTAGTTTCAGCTGTTCCTTGGTTGATTGGTGTTTTATGTTACATAGTGAATTGGGCTGGATCTAAGTTCTAAAAGTTGTATTATTTATGCTGACAGTGTAGTAACTATCTCTTTGTCGTTGTGTAGTCAAAAGGTAAACATAGCTGAACTAAAGGAACAATTAGATGATGAGCGGACTCAACGAAAAGAAGAGCGAGAAAAGGCTGCAGCTGATCTAAAAGCTGCCGTTCATAAAGCCCAGTCTGAGGCTGAAGAGGAATTAAAACGACTCTCTGATGCTGCCTTAAGAAGAGAAAGAGAGCTACAGGAAGCAATAAATAAGCTTCAGGTTTGAAAGTTTTGATGCTAAATTTGTAAGAAACTTCTCCCTTTGTACTATTAGGAGCTTACGTTCTTTCTCAATATTTGTTGTAGGAGTCAGAGAGAGAAATGTCTTTGCTGGCTGAAACCTTGAGGTCCAAGCTGGTATTGTTTTGATTTTGGTCCTGTTAGTTGAAGACCGTTTTTTTCACTTGTACTTTGTGTATAAATTTCCTCTTTATATCCCTTTTCTTTTGTAGGAGGATACCAGGCAAAAGTTGGTTATATCTGACAATAAAGTTCGCCAATTGGAAACCCAAGTACATGAAGAGAAACTAGCCGCTGAAAATGAAGTGAAGGTAATCGGATAATTTTATATAGATTATTGTGTTACTTTATCATATTTTGCTTGATATCAAGCTGAAAATAAATTTTAACTCGTGGAGCAGAAAGTAGAACTTGAACAACAGGAAACAAGAAGATTAAGGAAAGAGCTTGAGAGCGAAAAGGTAGATATATGTGAAACACATAAGTGAATACAAAGTTGACTTTATCTGACTAATACTAATGCTGCTCTTCATCTAAAGGAAGAAATATTTATAGTTTATATGCTTCTTTGTTTTCTAATTGGGTGTTTTTGTGTTCTATATCTTATCCTCTTTCTTTAAGCTCCCTTTTTTCTTGCGGGTCAAATTTCCTTATTTGAAGCCGAGGTTTTTGTTGATGTTGTTAGCAGGCAGCACGAGAAGAAGCATGGGCTAAAGTTTCTGTTCTTGAGCTTGAGATAAATGCTGCAATGAGAGATCTTGATTTTGAAAGGCGGAGGTTAAAAGGTGCTAGGGAAAGACTAATGCTTCGGTAAGACTAGATTTAATGTTGATTATAATCATTGAACATTTGTGATTTGAAAAGTTGGGGATTTGATGTTGATTATAATAATTGGACATTTGTGATTTGAAAAGTAGGTAGAATCCCCAACATAGACTACACTTACTTGCATAGTAGACTTATCAATTTGGCCCATCTCATAGGATTTGGCCTTGAACCACATGGGTTAGGGTCAAAAAAGCCCACCGGGCCAAAAAAAGCCTATATAGAAAAAGCTTGCAGGACCAAAATATCAACAAAGCCTTATGGGTTAGGGCCAGCTCATGGGTGTTTCTTTTTAGTGTGAAAACAATATAGTAATAAACTATTATCATTACAGTTTGTATATGTTAGGATATTTATCCGATTTTATCATCATTATATTGTGTCTAGGGTTACCCTATTTATTATGTACTTTTGTATCAATTTATTCTTATAAATAGAAGATCATGAGAGGAATCAATCAAGCTCTCTAGAATTATTTTACAGTTTAATTCTCAAGTTGGTATCAGAGCGGGTCGATCTCGCTCTGGTTTCTGTCTCGTAATATTTGTCTGGCGCCACAGTCTGTCGCTGCCCGCCACCATCCGCCACTGTCCGTCGTCGGCCACCGTCCGGCCACCGTCCACCGTCTGCCGTCGCCGGCCACCGTCATCCATCGCTATCACAGTTCCGTTCGTCTAAACCCTTAGGGTTTTCTTGTTCCTCGCTGGTACTATTCGTCTTCTTCAGAAATGGCGTCTGGCAGTACTCTTTCCTTCTCCGGAAGTCCATCAATTACCTCCGAGAAGCTAAATGGAAAAAATTATCTATCATGGTCTGCTGTCGTTGAAATGTGGTTCCTTGGCCAAGGGCATTATGACCACCTTGAGCGAGATGGAAGCCATGTGCCTACTGAAAAAGCTGATCAGTGGGAACAAGCAGATTTCCAGTTGTGTGCCCTGTTATGGCAATCAGTGGAACCCAAACTTCTTGTATCTTTGAGGGCTTTCAAAACTTGTCACTCCTTTTGGGAGAAAGCCCAAAGCATTTATGCCAACGATATTCAATGTCTCTATGACACTAAGAACAAGCTTGCATCTCTTAAAATGGCAGACCATGATATGGTGTCCTTCATGGCTGATGCCCAATCTGCTGTCGAAGAACTCGAGATGTTTTGGGAAGCGGACCCATTAGAGGATATCAAAAAGAAACTAGACAAATTTTACATGGTGTTGATCATTCGTGCCCTACATCCCGATTTTGATCATCTCAGAGATCAACTTCTAACTAGTCATGAGGTCCCCTCCATGGAAACATTGACCACTCGCCTTCTGCGTGTCCCGTACCTCAAACTCAAGAAGCGCATGAACTAGTGGAACCATCTCATGGTTGCCACACGAGGAAGAGGAGGACGTGGCACTAGAGGAGGAGGACGAGGAGGTCGGGGACGTCCTCAATGCACATACTGTAAAAGGATAGGTCAAACTCAAGAGAATTGATACTCCTTACATGGTTTCCCTTCCAAAACCGCAAATATTTCGAAGACTGAAACTTCCACTTCTATGTTTTTTGAGGATGAATATCAAGAGTATTTAAGGTTAAAGTCTAACAGCTTGGCACAACCATCTCAATCTCCCAATACATAAACAAAATGCAATTCTCAATCTATGGAAGGTCAAAATTCATGGGTAATTGACTCAGGTGCTTCTGATCACATTTATGGTAATACATCTTTGTTTTCATCTATTTCCTTTCGAGAAAAACCTCATTTCATAATCCTTGCAAATGGATCTAACATTTAACAAAAATGTAGATTAACATTAAGTGTATGTAACTGAGAAACAACATAAAAAACGAGGTTTATCCATGACTTCCAATTTATCCTCATTGTTATTGTAAATATTTGGAGAACATATGTTAGGAGTTGGAAAGTTTATGAAAGGAGGAAAAAGAAGAGTACCGAACGATAAGGGACCAAACAATATCTACACTAATACTGAACGGTGGGAGGAAGGAGTGAAGGACCGAACGGTATTACCGAACAGTAGGAAGAATAAAAAGAGTGACAAAGTTTGTTAGGTTACTTGAGATCTAAAACAGAGAAAAATAGTTCTAAAGGGCTTGAAAGACCCTTCTCAGTTCTATTATTGATATAGATAAAAAACTGATACAATAGATAGATGGAAGATGAAGAGATTGTCCTAGACTGCTAGGAACAATCATTATAGATAACCCAACACACAACTACCTACTTTTAGGCCCTGCTCTACTAATCATAGGTAGACTTAATAATTATTCTAACACTCCCCCTCAAGCTGGAGCATACAAATTGTAAGTACCAAGATTGGAACAAATAAACTCAATCAGAGGTCCCCTTAACGACTTAGTCAACACATCTGCGAGTTGGTCATTTGATCCAACAAACTCAGTACATATTTCTTTTGACAATAATTTTTCCCGAACAAAATGACAATCAATTTCTATATGTTTGGTTCTCTCGTGAAACACTGGATTTGATGCAATGTGAAGAGCAGCTTGGTTATCACAATACATCTTCATACTTTGGATGCCACAAAAGTTAAGCTCTTGAAGGAACTGCTTCACCCATATAAGTTCACATGTTAATGAAGCCATTGCCCTATATTCAGCCTCAGCTGTTGATC